GGTCATCCCTCTGTCCCTCTTTCTTCCTTCCTCTGTTCAGGTTTTTCTTTGAAAAACAACCTAAAGAAATCCTGCTGACCAACTATTTTGAACAAGACAAGTGCTCACCACCGGAATCCTCTGAACCTCTTTGAGCCTCTGCCACCTCTCCCCAGGAGACCGCAAGAGGCTACACCTTCTTCCCTGCAGCTTCAGTGCAATCATTTTGAGGAAGCACCAGTCAGTTCCCCAAATGTGTCATGTTATGATCACTTAGCTCAACCCCCCTGAAGCCCTTCTTACTTAGAGAAAAAACAGGGGCTAATTACACATGAGTCTGTTTGTAATCTGACCCCGTTGCCATTTGTCCCTGCCATTGAACATTAGTGCTTATTGCACCCCCAGGCTACTCTTCCACCAAAGTCTCCTGACTTTTTAAAAAACAATCTCCATTAAGTCTCCTTAAGTCTTGAATACTTTTTTTTATTTTATTCTCTAACCATTCGAATAAAGATTACACCATACTCCACCTCACGCTCCTAACTCTACTCCACTTTTCCTCCTTCCTATGCTACCATATGGTTCACTTATAGGATTTATTATCTATCTTCTCCCTAGAATGTAAATATTGAGGCCAGAATTTTTTTTAAGCAACTTAATCAATGATGTATCCTTAGTAGTTATAATTGAGTGTGGTTCATAATAGGTGTTCTGGCTAAGTTTATGTCAACTTGACACAAGCCAGGGTCATCAGAGGAGGGAGCCTCTATTGAGAAAATGTCTCTATAAGATCAGCTGTAGGCAACTCTATAAGGCATTTTCTTAATTAGTAATTGATGGGGAGGGCTCAGCCCATTGTGGGTAGTGCCAACCCTGTGCTGGTGGTCCTGGGTTCTATAAGAAAGAAGGCTGAGCAAGCCATGAGGAACAAGTCAGCAAGCAACAACCCTCCATAGCCTCTGAATCAGCTCTTGCCTGTAGGTTTTTGCCCTGTTTGAGTTTCTGTCCTGACTTTCTCCAGTGATGAACAGCAAAATGAAAGTGTAAAAATAAACTTTTTCAGTTTGCTTTTGATCATGGTGTTTTAGCCCAGCAATAGTCACCCTAACTAAGACAGTAGGTCTTGTCACCATATACAACCTCAAAGTTGGTCAACTGCACAGGGCCAGGACACGCAGTCTACATAAGAATGGTGCCTCCTGGGGCTGTACAACATGCCCATCCCATAGGCACTCATTAAACACTTCTTGATGACACCATATTGTCTTAACTACACCTCCATCTACAATCTCTATAAAAATCCTTACTTTTGAAGAAATGCCTGGAGAGCTTAGAGACCCACAGACCAAGTGAAGATATTTTTAGCAGCTGTTGGATTGTGGGTTTAAAATCATCTGACCTACATCCCCACAAATATTGTTTACTAACTAAACAGAGCACTTTGAATTCCACTGGAGGTGGGCAAATTGGCTACTTTTTGGGAGTCTACATAATCACTATTTTCCCACATGATAATTGAACAGTAAGTGTTATTTAAGATAGTCTTGGAAGGATTCCCCGTTTCACTGTAGAGAAGGAGAAGTTTATATTTGGGGCTTTGGTTTGGTTTGGAGAATCAGCACTCATGGCTATTCACACAGCTTTATTTTATTTTCTGGTTGGGAGTCTATGAAATCTATAACTACAAAGAATTTCTGTCATGTTTCAACATGGCTTTCCTGCCTGTGGATGCCATGCCTCCCGTTGTAACATTTGTCCTTTTGTACTTCTTTCTGTTACAGCTATATTCCATAAAACTTTATGGTTGATAGTACCAGTCTCCTTAACTTCCTGTCTGTTTAATATTATAATGCCATTATTCCCTAGGAGTGGCCTCTGGTGACTTCATAGCCTCCTCCTCTCATGAGGATGAGCTGTAAGGAACAGGATTCCATGAAAGCCTGTGGGTGTGATGAGGTATCTGTTGCAGGGCAGGAAATGCTACCAGTAAAGGCCATGGCAGTGGTCTAGAACCTCCCCTGGAATTGCTGGCCTGGAGGTGGATACATAATGTGCTATATTTACAGAATGAGTCATGTGTGATCAGGACTCCCTTGTTCTTCAGGTGCACCCAAAATGGACAGGTTTTACATTGTTTTCTCCTGTCTTATGTTAATAATTGAAGATAGCAGATGAAGGGACTGATCCAGACCCCAGGAACATGGGTTTTATCGAGGAAACCTTGGAAACCTATGGGACCTCCTGTAGTAGTTCAGTACTTATCCCTAGCATAGTGTGGACTTTGGGAGCCCATTCCACATAGAGGAATACTCCCTGAGCCAAGACACACGGGGGGGGGCTTAGGCCCTATCCCAAAGGATACGATAGACTCTGATGACACCCTATGGAAGGCCTCACCATCCAGGGGGAGCAGAAAGGATATGTGATAGGTAGGGTTTTAGTTGGGGGGAGTGGTAGGGGAGGACGGGAGGGAGAAGGGAACTGGGATTGTCATGTAAAACAATCTTGTTTCTAATTCAAATTAAAAAATCCAAAAAAAAAAGATAGCAGATGAAGACAATAATATGTGCTCTCACAAAGGTGACCATGTCACATGTCTGAATTCTGGTTTCCTTCAGTACCACACAGCCATACAGAATGCCAAAGGCCAGAGTCACACTTTCTGTAACTGCTTGTCTTAAGGTACTTCAGGCACAGAATCTCTGGCCCTCATCAACCTTCATATCTACTGGAGGATCTAGTCCTTAGAGTTCAAAGAGCCAAATGGTTTCCTGGTGGGGAAGTTATCCAACAGGAGATAGTAGAGCTTGTCATGCATGGAATGACATGACATGTATGAAGGTCTAGAAGCAGAGAAAACTCTGATCTAGAGAGCTGAGTGCCATAAGACTGGACTCTTCAACCCCAGAAGAATGCAAGAATAAGACAGGGCTGGACAGGAAATCGGGGGCCTATCACCTGTTTCTTTAAGATGCATCTGTGCACAAAAATCAGAATGCTGTGCAGACCTCTGGTAAATGAATATTAGGAAACTACTAAAGATGGAGATGGTTGAACTATTGTTGAAACAGTTTTTACAGTACAAAGGAGATTCCTAACTGCCTCTAAGTGGTCATGAAGAGCACCAGATCTGCTCATACATGCATGCCAAATGCCATCAGCAGTCCCCCAACTAAAATGAATATGGTAAAACTTTATATCTATCACTCAGATCACTGACTTTGCAAGAACCTTAACCTATGTGCCTAATGTGATTGAAGTGTTGACTAAAAGTAACTTTTAATAGGTAATGCTAACTTATCTGCTTATAAGAGGACAGAATCTTTCAGTTGTGACCTTAAACTTAATTGAATTAAAGTATTCAGAATGTTCTCTAAGAATAATTTTATGCAATGGATAATGTAATTTTACCATTGAAGTATAAACTTCAGTCTTTCTTGCCTATTTTTGCCATCTTTGATCATCTGAACATTTGTTTCGCAGAAGAGCTTAATTCCTGTCCTTCATCTCTCTCATATAATTGCTTTATTGGTTATGTATATTAAACAGTTATGCTGGATTTAGTAGATAGGATCTGTCTTAGATTTCTGTGTATCTACTATATAGCATTTAGCATGGAGCACAAGTATAAATGAAAATAGCAAATTATTAACAAAGACGGCTCATGAAAATGAAAATATTTCATAGATAACCTTCTCAACTTAAAAAAACAACTAACAGTAAAGCAAATGTACTTCTTTAACAACCAAATGTTACACAATACATAACATGCTATGGCCTCTGAAGATTAAGTTTATCAGGTTGGGCAATAGCTCAGTTGGTAAAGTGTTTGTCTCAAAAGTATGACCCTGAGCCCCAATTCTGGGCATTGTGACTCACTCATTAATCAAGCTAGATAGGCAAAGAAAGGTGGATCCTTGGGTCTTCTCTGGCCAGCCAGTGCGGCCTAACCGAGGAGTCCCTAGACAAGGAAAGACCCTGTCTCCTAGGAGGTCAATAGTGTTTTGGGTTATTTTCTGGCCTACACACACACACACACACACACACACACACACACACACAAATACTCACATACATCTGCACACACACACACAGGCATAAGAGAGAAATGATCAAAGAGTACATGCTCTCTTCCTGTTCAGTACCATATGAGTGTGCATATGAGTATCTCTGTAGGGAGAAGCAGCATAGTCTCTAGAAGGACAACAAAGTTAACCAAAGGAAGGATGTGAATACCAGACTCATCCTGTATTCTAGGTATGCACCCAATATTGCAATCAGTAAGGAGATCTCCAAGATACTTGTGTTCAGTATTTCTGCTAAGTATCTTTGTTATAAAGGCAGTAACTATAAAGCCACCTAGATAATCCATCTGCTGCCTAATAACACAGCCCATGACAGCAATTAAGGTATAGAAAGAACTCCAAAAATGTTAGTTGTAACTCTTGGGTATGAATGAGTATGATATCATTCTTCAGCACTACGCCAGCACCTGCAGTATATCTAGCTACTTGTGCCTTTTCTGTACTTAAAATCCTGCTTACATATTGACATGTGTTCTCAGTACAAAATATGCACTGAATTTTAGAGACTTTGTAGAGGAAAAGTACAAGTAGTTCATTGAAATAGTTTATGTTGACTACATGCTAGTTTTTATCATATGAAGTTAAAATACATTATTAAAATTAATTTTGACTGCCACTTTTATATTATTAATGCGACTGACTAGCAGAAAACCTGAAATGATTTGTGTAACTCATGCTGTGACAAGCATTATGCTTCTCTAGCTGCTGTGGAGAGAGAGCTCAGGGTATTTTGTAAAGTAGCCACTTCACAGACATTCATTAAGTGTCCTGATCAGCTGTAAGGACAGGAATCAAGTCAAATTATAACTGAACACATTTGAGCTATGAATTTATATAAGATTAAAGTTAAACGTGATGTTGCTGATCTGTGGTCAGTTTTCTTTTTAATAATCTGTCTACACCACACTGTGACTCATGAGAACCTCCTGTTTCTAGGCTGCTGGTTGGGTCTCCATGGAGCGGCTTTCCTGAGAACAGAATGGGAGACGTGTACAAATGCCCTGTTAATGTACCCACTGCCCGGTGTGAAAAGCTGAACCTGCAAAGTGAGTGGTACTTAGCAATGCTACTCTTTACAAACAGCAAAGACTCATTTGTCATCAACTCTGACAAAATGACAAAAAGATTCCAATTTTGCCTTAAAGAAAGCTTTATGCCTTTGTTGATTTAATCATATGGATACCAGTTTGTATCCAAATTTTTAAATGAGTTTGAAGACCTGGTTTAATAAATTTTCATAGGTGATGTTCTACCTCCTAGGCCATTTGCCTTAGACCATGGACTGGTTTCTACCACTTTTATTTTCCAGATGATGGCCAGAAATCTGAGACTATCGATATTTCTCTGTCCCCTCTTTCCAGAATAAGTTATTATGTACAAAAACAATAGTTCTGGGGCTGAGATTGAAGGCTTCAAGAAATGCTATGTATTTAAGATTATGCTGAATAATTACATTCCATTTAAAATATACAACTTAAAATTATTTGCTGTTTTATTTACTACATTGCAGGTGTATTATATTGCAATGCAAATATTTAATAAAAATAATAGGACTAGAAAAAATGAATGAGTAATATCCCACACAGTATTTCCTGAAGAAAGTTAGGGAGCATTGAACTCTATGGTTAGCCCCTCAGTAGAGTCATGAGGACACAGACATTGCTGAGCCTGAGTCCTCCTAAATCATCAAGGGATGAAAGGAGAAAAAACATTGTTAGAAAACTCAGTTAGGGGGAAGAAGGATTTCAAGACAGATCTTAAGTATTAGAAACATGGCTGGGAGTTGGCTCAGTCAGTAAAGTGCTTGCCTTGCAAACACAAATACCTGAGTTCAATGCCCAAAAGTCAAATAAAAACAGTCAGTCATTCACTGCCTGGATGGCCAGGAACCAGAGGCAGGATAGCCGAGAGTCCCAAGATAGAACCAAACATGACAGGGGAAAAAAGCCAATGAAATGATCCCTAAGGATGTTCTGCAGTACTCAGACCAGTGCCTGGACCAGTGGTCAGCAGAGGGGGTTCATCCAGAACCCAATGGGAGCAGATAGCAGAGACCCACAGCCAAACACTTGATGGAGCCAGAGGAACCCTGAAGAAGGAGAGAAAGGATTGCAGTAGTCAGAGGGATTGAGAATACCACGAGGGCTCATAGGGGCTCATAAGGGCTCACAGAGACTGAAGTGACAAACATGGACCCTGTACGGGTCTGAGCTAGGTACTCTGCATATACCTTATGCTGTTCTTGTGGGACTCCCAACAATGGGAGTGGGAGGGTCTCTCTGACTCTTTTGCCTGTGCCTGGGACCCTTTTCCTTCCACTGGATTGCCACATTCAGCTGTGATATAAGGGTTTGTGCTCAGTCTTATTGTATTTTGTTAGGCCATGTTGGGTGGATATCCCTGGGAGACCTGCTCTTTTTTTTTAAAGGGAAACAGAAGGAGTTGGTTTGGGGGAGAGGGAAGGTGGCAGGGAGGACTGGGAGGAGTAGAGGGAGGGGAAACTGCAGCTAGGATGTAATGTATAAGAGAAGAATAAAAGTTAAAAAAATTAAAACAGCCATATGTAAAAAAGTCAGACATTGTTAAAAAAAAAAAAAAGTCACGCTTACTCAGACTTACAAAAATAGCAATGGAAAGTTGTAGGCAGTTGGGTTTCATGAGCTCAGTGGTCAGCCAGTCCAGCTGAATTAATCCAGTAATAGAACCTGTCTAAAAAGGAAAGGTAGAGGGTGGCTGAGGAACAACACCCACACTTGTCCTCTGGCTTCCACATGCAGGCATACACATAGACCACACACACACACACACACACACACACACACACACACACTTAGAAAAAAGAGCAGGAGTGCCCCTTACATAGCTCTATGTGACACATTTGCAGCATGATTTCTTCCCCGAAGTAGGTGCTATATATAAGCATATTTTGTGTGTGTGTGAGCCATGTGGTCAGTGATGTTAAATGCTAGAGATTGAAGTGTGAAGCCTGAGTAAACATTTTCAGTTTACGTAAACTGGATGTGGGTGATAGAACTCTAAACACTCACCAAATATGGAAATGGTATTCAAAATTTTTACTGTAACAACTGGGTGTGTAACTGAATGCTAGATCCAAGAATAAGTGAGGGCCTGGGTTCAATCCCCAGCATTACAGAAAAACAACAGTAACAACAAAAACCCCAAATATCACCAATTTTATTCTACCACCTCGATCCATTGTGTCATCTTAATGTTTGAACATTTAGGCAGTGGCTTTCTAGTAAGACTTTTCTTCTAGACTCTCATTCCTCTGGAGAGAATCTGTGGTCAGTGTCTTCTCACTACCCCTATTTTGAATAAAACCTGGAGATTTAAACATTGGAGATTGCTTTTGGGCCAATTATACTGTTTGGATGGCCCAGGAAAAATAAACCTGTTGGTGTGTAGCTGGATATTCAGCAAAACAATCATAGAAGATTTTGAATAAAACACAGGAGTTAAGAAGACACAGGTGCACATATTTAATTTTAAGCTAAAACACGTACTGGCACATTGCCTTATTAGCAATATGGTTACATAAAAATAAGAGCATATACATAGGAGTTTCATTGTTTTCTTTCTGTACCAAAGAAATTGTTATTCTATCAAAACATATGTAACTAATAGTTATATGTCCAGTGGGGTATGAGGTTAGAAAAAAAAGAATAAACAATTTAGAAAGTCACAAGTACAGGATTGATAGCCAGTCTCCATTTCTAGAAGTTAGGTAATACAGGAGAGGTGAGAAGACAGCTCTAGGGGACAACAAGACTAAGAACTCCTTCCAGAAAAAAAGACAGAGAGTGTAAAGGGGTGGAACAAATGAAGTGGGTATTAGTCAGTGACGGTGCAGCATTCACATAGCCAGAGAAGTGTCACCAGTGCCTGGGAGAAAGAGTCTGAGGAGAAATCCCCCTCCTCTAAGACAGAAAGGAACCGGAGAGGGAGAAGGCATTGCAGTGACCCTCATCAGGGTTGAGGAACCAAGGTCACTGGAGAGAGTGATTCATGCCACAGTGTGTGAGCTCCTCACTGAGACTGGCAGAACCAGTGTTGAATTGGAGGCTTCAGAGGGAGAGTGAAGTCTAACAGCAGTCACCCTGGGACATGAGGGAAACAACCCAGCTGGCACTAGAGAACATGTAAATCATGTTGGTGTCATAGCTTGGAGAGACAGATTCATGTCTCATTTTATCTGGCTGGTCCCATGGTTTCTTTTTGAAATTCTGTTTTGAGTTAGGGTCTATCAAATGGTATTCATTAAGAGTATTTTAAACAGTCCCGATATAAAAAGAAACAAAACAACAATAACAACAACAGAAAAAAGCAGGAGGCAAGGTTACAAACAGAAACACATGGTGCCCTCTCTGTGCGTTTTGTTTGATGAAAATGTTGTCCTTTTAAACACACATATTTAAATGCCCTGTCAGTGCTTCTGCCCAACTGCCTCCCATACAGGAGTGAGCTGGGAGTGGCTGAAGACACCACATCCCCACTCGTCATGATATGATGCTTGTTTCCAGATAGGTTATGCTACACTCAAGCCATGTAAAAACATGAGTCTGCCTGTTGGTTTTATTATAGCTTCTCATGAACAATAGATATTTAATATTTTAAAACACCTCTTTCTCTCCAAAAGATTCAGCAAGCATCTCAAATGTTACGGAGATAAAAACCAACATGAGCCTGGGTTTGACCCTCACCAGGAACTCGGGAACCGGTGGCTTTCTAGTAAGTGTTGCCTCTCAGATCTTCCTTTCTCTGGAGAGAATTTGTGGTCAGTGTCGTCCTGCCATTGTAGCATTTGCCATCTTAGCAAACGCAATCTGGAGATTTAAACGTTCAAGTTTGCTTTATGGTCAACAATGCTACTTGGATAACCAAGGAAACATTAGCAGTTTTAATGTGGAGCCTTCTTGAGTATTCAGCAAACAATGGGATGTTTGAATGACATGGGTAGTCTAAGGAGAAGGCCTGGGAGGTGTGCTGAGCAGGTGTGGATCCCATTAAAATCCCAGGTCCTGTTTCTGCTTCCTCTAGGAGCATGCTCAGGTGCCTTCCATTCAGCAGCCAGGGTTCAAAGCCAAGGAGTGCTCTTGTCTTTGACCCATGCTACTCTGGCTACTCTGGCTACTCTGCTCCTATCTAAAGTGAGGAGATGTCTCTCCTGCCACATATCTGCTAGCAGAGGAAATTTTCTGAAGGAAAAAGACTTTCTGAGCTTTGACTTAATATAGGAAATTGCTGAAAATATTTGATTATACAGTGAAAAAATCACGTGACCCCCAAAGTTGAAAGACAAGTAAAAACTAAATCGTATTTGAAATTTCCTCTGGTTCATATAAAAATATCCTAGTTAAACAGATCTGAAAACTTGTCTTCAAAGCCCAGGTTGTCTGTGCGATTGAAATTCTCACCTAAAATCTTGCTTAAAAAAACAAACAAACTGATTTTTAGCCAATATTGTCATTTTAGTTAGAGTAACAGTTATTTACATTGAGAAAAACTTATTACCACTAAACCAATTAAATATTGGTTATTATATGTGTCAGATCTGTGTATAAATGATTATTGCAAGGTATCTTTGTGCTGTGTTGTATTCTGAGATCTTTATAATAGACTTGATTTGTTTATTTTTTCAGTTGGCTAAATCAGAATAACTTGAGAATTATGGATTGTAGATATTCATTAAAGTTTTAATCCTTAATCCTAGGTAAAATAAATTTTTTTTAACAAACTCCAAGTGAATTAGTAGCGAGTGTAAGGGAGCTGGAAGGAGGAGGAGACCTGAGTTTCTTTACACATTGAAAAGGTCAGAGTCTCGGGCTTCTCATAAGAATTATGTGAAGAAGACTGGCAATCATCACATATTTCTGAACCTTCTTAAGTTCTGGGCTTAAAGCAAGAATGTGTTGGCAGTAACAATTGGCATCCTGTAACTTCAGCTTCTTAATTCTGTTTTCCATTGCTTATGAAAAAGAACTTCTATTCTTGCATACATCATGAATTATCTGCCAAGGTGATAAAAACGACTGCGGATGCACACATGGGCATGAATGATTGTCATCTACTGTGTGTGTGTGCATGCGTGCATGCATGCATGCACGCATGCATGCATGCGTGCGTTGAGTGTGTGTGTACTAGCCAGAAGCAACAAATGACTTTTTCCTAATTGTCAAAATGTTCCAGTTTTTACGGGAGGGAAACCATGCTTGCCCTCTGAGCATGAAATATGAGTACAGCTGCTAGGATTCAGCCACTGACAGTTAAACTGGGTCAAATAAAATCCTTTTGTTTTTCCAATTACTTCCTATACTAAGTGCACACTTTTCTATTCAGTTTTAATTACTTGTGTGCCCATCAGTTCAATGCTCTAGGCGTGGGCCACAGCTTTACATAATGTGAAATTCTTAGGTAATTTTTAGTATCTTTAGACTTGATCTCTGTTCCCGAATTTTTCTCTTTTCCTCTAGAAAATTTAATATTAGAGAGTCTAATGTGTCCCACTTGCTTTAATCACAACTCAATCCACAGCTCTCAGCACTCATAGAATGGCTTCTATAAAGGGCAGAATTGGTGTTGTGTTCATGGAGTTAGTAGGAGTTGGTGTATGTATGCTTTAGACAAGGAGGTAAATACCAGTCAGCTAGGGACCTTGGAGCTCAACATAAAGAAATAGTTTATTGCAAGATTAAAAGGTAGCAGTTCATTACATCACTTGTGTCAATTAGTGTGTTAATGTGTTAATTTTAAAATAAAGGGGTTTTACTCAAAATTTGCCTTCATAATCTCAGAATGAAAAAAAAAGGATTTAAAATATCAGGTGAACAGGGACACAGTGGTCTGTCCCTGAATGAAAGAAGTGTGATATTCATGCACGACCCAGGCACTCTGGAGGACCCCTGCCTGTCCTAACAGGCTGTTGGGGTTTTGGTTCCTATTGAGAAGTCCTAGATGAACAGGACAGGAGGAGACCCGATTCGCAAACAACCACAGTGGATGCGGTAATGCAGCCACAGCTCCCTCCCTGACTTTGTTCTGCGTATTCTGTGTCTATGGATCATTGAACAGTCAATCTTTACAATCATGCAAACAAAAGGACATGATTATCTTATTTATCCTATAAATGAGTCACATGAGATCCAACTTTGCATTCAGTTGGGGGGGGGTGTTGTTTTGTTTGGTTTTGGTTTTTCCAGACAGGGTTTCTCTGTGTGTAGCCCTGACTATCCTGGAACTCACTCTGCAGACCATGCTGCCACAAACTCACAGAGATCTGCCTGCCTCTGCCTCCCGAGTGCTCTGGGATTAAAGGCCTGTGCCACCACTTCCTGGCCCTGCATTCAGTTTTCTTACTGAACTTTTTTTTTTTAGGCAACCTTCAGTTATTTTTATTTAAACATATACTGTTATGACTGTGACATATTAACTAAAATACAGCATAGACATAGAGGAAGGAAGGAAAGACTATTCCAACTTTATGATTTTGAAAGTTAAAATATTAAGAATAGATTTAAGTGACTTGGGGTCACCAGAGTGAGAAACATGCTTGTCTACTACTCAATAATCTATCACAGATTAGAAAAAGAAGCTTATAAACAATTGTTCAATCACGTACTATGAGGTCGACTTTTAAATTCTTACTGAACTTTTCTAGAAGTAGTATGGTAGGGGAATCCCAGGGTCTCTTTGTCTACTGACAGCTACCCCTGATGGCCCCATCTCTGTTCCTGAAGGTCCACCCTGAGGTAGCACATCTGTTGTTTTCTCCTTATCTTTTTAGCCTTCCCAGAGGGTGGCCACTCAAAAGCATTTGAAGAAGATTTTTGAGAGTTTGTTTTTATTTTAACCACATGAATGTTTGCCAGAACATATGTCTGTATGCCAGTGCCTATGGCAACCAAAGGAAGGTCTCGGCTCTCCTGGGACTGGAACCATAGAAGAATGTCAGTTGCCGTGTGGGGAATGGGAATTGAATCTGGGTCCTCTGGAAACAGAAGTGCTCTTAACCACTGAGCTGTCTCTCCAGGCCTTCCAATTGCTTTTTGGACTTACTAGTTTTGAGAGATGAAAGTGCTAAACAGATGGCACAGTGATTAAGATCACTGGCTGCCCTTCCAAAGAACCTGGTTTCAAATCCCAGAACCCAACATTCTCTTCTGGCCTCCAAGGGCACTGGGCACAAAAGAATCACAAAGACATATATATAGATGAAGCACATACATATACACACATATGCACACATCTATACACACATATGTGTCCATATATATACATATATGTATATTGTGGACACACATACATAATGTGTGTATATATGTATGTATATCCACACATATGTGCATGTGTGTGTGCGTGCCCATGTGTGTATGTGTACATGTATGGGTATGTGAATCCTACTGTCTTGGGAAAGAATAGATATGGTGTCTTAATTCCATAGAATAAGAGGTGAATGTTACATTTCCTGTGTATATATTATTTTCTCCTTTCTTTGAAGACCTGTGGTCCTCTGTGGGCACATCAGTGTGGAAATCAGTATTATGCAACTGGAATTTGTTCAGACATCAGTCCAGACTTTCAGTCCCTGACCAGCTTCTCACCTGCAGTTCAGGGTAAGTTATGGACATGAAGGAGATCTGAGTGATGCCTTACAATTAAAGGGAGGGGTGTCAAGTGCAACCCAACCTCTCTGTAAGTCCGAAGTTCATGTTGTTATGAAGTTTGACTTATCTTTGGAAAATGTGTTCTTTTTTTCATCTCTTCCTATGTAGCTTGCCCTTCCCTCGTAGATGTTGTAGTTGTATGTGATGAATCAAACAGTATTTATCCCTGGGACGCAGTGAAGAATTTTTTGGAAAAATTTGTACAAGGCCTGGATATAGGACCCAAAAAGACTCAGGTAAGGACATCAAAAATCATAAATGAGCCCATGGATCTCCTTTGGGGAAAATGATGTTAGATGTGAAGTCTTAAAATTTCCATTTGTCCAATATTCATTTTAATGCATTTAATGGTGACCTGGGAAATTAAAATCGAAACATAAACTTCTAAGGCCAGTATTTGGCCTATGGCTTTGTTCAGTGTTGCTGATTTTAGTTTTATTTTTGACAGAGTCGTCAAAAGAATGGTGTATAGCACTTATGCCTCTTTTAAAAGCTGCTTATTTTGGCCAGGCGTTGGTGGCACACGCCTTTAATCCCAGCACTCGGGAGGCAGACGCAGGTGGATCTCTGTGAGTTCGAGGCCAGCCTGGTCTACAGAGCGAGTGACATGATAGGCTCCAAAGATACACAGAGAAACCCTGTCTCGAAAAAACAAAACAAAAAAAAAACTGCTTATTTTAATTCTTTAACCCATGGGTTTACTCATAATACATATATGGGGAATAGAGAGATGGCTTAGTGGTTAAGAACACTTGCTGTTCTTGCAGAGGACCCAGGTTCAGTTCCCAGCCTACAACTCCAGTTCCAGGAGGTCCAAAGTCCTCTGTCCTCTATAGGCACCTGTACACACATGGTGCACATACATTCACATAGGCACACACATATACACATAAATACAAAATAGTGGATAATATGTTTTAGAATTAGATACATATTTTCCCTATAGCTATTTTGATGAATAGTGAATTCCTCTTGTTTACACTTTGCTTGTAAAGAGTTATCTGAATTCGGTGAAATTTAAAAAATAGTAAACATAATTCTGATATTAGTTTATAGTTTTTGTTTATAAACTAGAAAATCTTTTACATAAGAGAAAGTATTTTCAATAATTCAAAATCATTTTCCATGTTTTCAGAAGTCTCAATTGGATGTTATTATATCTCCTTTTGTTTTGTTTTTTATATCTTATTTATTTATTTACTTATTTTACATCTATGCTACAGTTTCCCCTCCCTCCTCTCCTCCTAGTCCCTCCATACCTCCCTCTATTCCCACCACCCCATCCACTCCTCCTCCCATTCTGTTTAGAAAAGGGCAGTTCTCCTATGAGAATCAACAAAACATGGCATATCAAGTTGCAGTAACACTAAGCACCTTCCTACGTGTTAAGGCTGGGCAAGATGACCCAGTATGAAGAGTAAGGTCCCAAAGCCAGTAACAGAGTCAATAACAGGCCCTGTTCTCACTCTTAGGAATCCTACAAGAAGACCAAATTATAAAACTTTAACATATATGCAGAGTGGCTAGGTCAGTTCCATGCAATCTTCTTGATGTAGGCACCCAAAATACAGGAATAAAAGTTTCATGATTCCCCAAGACTAAGTAGCATGCATTTTTAAAAGTGACAGCTATATTCCACATTACTCAGTAGATAAAGGCAAGAACATTTCTGGAAACCAAGATTCTGAGTCTCGCCTGGACAATATAGCAAGGCCCTGGGGTGAAGGAGAGAGTAGGGTAGGGAGAGAAAGAGGAGGGGGACAATTCCTGGATATTTTGAGATTCTTTTTTCTTTCACCATGCTCCTCTTTTCCTTTTCCACTTCCTGACTGGATCTACCACAAATAGGTCCTTCTGGCTGGAGCAGCAGTATCCCCAGGGTGCAGCTCACTGATTTCCCAGTGCACGTTCCTAGCTGGCATCTGATAGGACAAAGCCTCACATCTAGAAACAATTATTGGGATACTTTCCCCTAGACTTTGTAGTTATCTTCACTGAAAATTCACTTTTCTAGTTTTGGGCAGTGGTGGCCCATGCCTTTTAATCCCAGCACTTGGGAGGCAGAGGTAGGTGGATCTCTGTGATTTCAAGATGAGCCTAGTCTACAAAGCAAGTTCCAGGATATCCACGGCTGCTGTTACATAGAGAAATCCTGTCTCAAAAAAAACATATGTATGTATATGTACATATATATCAACTTCATATGTATTATATGTATAAATAATTTTGATGTTGATTTTTTATACCAGGATAGTGGGCAAAATGCCTTTAGAGACCATGGAAATTCCACTGTGAATTTTTAATAGAAAATTCTATTAATGAAGACTACATATCACACTGGTTTCTGGAGAACAAGACTTTTAAATCTCCTTAAGAAGAAAGTTTCCCAATTTGTCTGTTACTTTTCTGTCTCAGTTACTATACCTGTTCCAGCCAATTTAATAGTATCCAGACTTCATGACACACTTCTGTGTCTTCCTACCATGATCCATTGGTTCCTCTCTAGAAGAAGCTGAGTTCAGTCTCTCTTCTTATGGCCCATATTTAATAATACACCTTATCTTTAACCCCTACTCTGCACTCAGGTCTACAGCTATGTCATAGAAGTCATATCGTCACTTAGTTTTGAGTCAGTTGCACGTCTTATCTTAAAGGAAGATGTACAGGATCATCACCATGTTCCTCATGACTTCCCAGTGGCTGTCATACCACCTCCCAGGCAAAATGACAAACTGGACTCAGCAATCAAGGGCCATCCTTCCACTTCCCTTATAGCCTTACATCAGAGAGACTTGTGTCTTTCAGAGAGCCTCTTACCACACATCCCTATTTCCTGATTACACAATCCCATCTCCCGGGCTGGGAGAATTCTTCTAATGCTCAGAAATAGGCATAGTGATAAAAAGAGGTGAGTTTGTTAATGTAAAGGATTGGAAACTGTCCCCTGGATACCTTGTTCAGATGATTATCTTTCTGTTGCTTTTTCAAATAAGGTTCTTTCAATTTGTTTGTCCTCTGAAGGCTAGAGTTTCCCTGTCCCACATACATATCTAACACTTTTGCTCCAATGACACTCAATCCCACAATAGGGGAAATCTAATAGTCAATTAAACTGAGCATACAGCTAAGGGATACATGAGCTTTTCTTCAATTCAGCGCCGACTCTGTTACAAAACTATTCACAATTAATAATATGTTACCCTCCATCTATGATTGCTTACAGCTGTCTTCAAGCTAGTACCCACTGATAATTAGAAAGTGTATTTATTTGTATCTATTTTAATCTTTGTGTCAGAAAGCTGAACCCAACATTCTTTTGCATTGAATACACTAATGAAGTGCTTTAAGTATCTATGGTTACTTCTGAACCAAGTGTGTAAGCTGTAACAGGTCCTCTTGCTTGGCAGCCATGCTCCTACTGCATACTAAAGACCTCTAGCAAAGACACTTCCACAGGAAGAAGAAGAATTTTCAAGCACAGAATTGAAATTGGTTCCTCTAAGCTATCAGACTACTCATCTAAATTCACCTTTCTTATTATATTGGCTAAATATAAGTTGTTTATAAGCTAATGATAATGAATAAACTTCTCTTTTGAAGGTGGCATTAATTCAATATGCCAATGAGCCAAGGGTTATATTTAACTTCAACACTTACAAAACCAAAGAGAAAATAGTTGAAGCCACATCCCTGACCTCCCAATATGGTGGTGACCTCACAAATACCTTCAAAGCAATTGAATTTGCAAGGTAAGTTTTGATGCTATCAGGTCAACACTTTGACAATATAAAAGTTAAAAGGGGGATGGAAAAGCCAATACAAAACAACAAGGGCAAGGACAAGCCTGAGCTTTCCATGACATGTGTACCTTGACATGTCACAGAGGATATGAAGCTACACACCATGGTTCTGGGACAGTCTGATACATGATTTTTTTTCATGAATTACATAAAATACAAAGGTCTTAGATTAAAGTAGTATGAAGTAAAACAATCTGTCACTATTTGCTAATATTAACTTCAAACAAATTAAGCTAGTATAGTATTTTGTACACATTAATGAAGCTCATGGTGTATTATACACAAGAATCTGAATGTTGAGATTATTATTCCTCCTGCAACATACAGGGATTGTGAATTTTACAATTGCATGGCATCCACCGCCTCCTTACCTCAGTTTCTCTTTTTCTGCCCTGTCAGTTTTACTAGACACTTTATTAAATGTCTGCCTGTCATTTTTTTCATCATTTATTTTTTGTCTGTCATTTTTTGAATGAAAATCACATGCCTGCCCTGAAACCTGCTCGCAGCCTTTTCCATCTCATGTTTTTATTCTTTCAAAAGCCATTAAAACAAGTTGTCTGAGTCTTCTCGCCTTTTCCTTGAAGGCTGCAGCTCTGCCACTGGGTGAACATGGTCTCTGCCATCAGCTAGTCTAGTGCTCTTATCTCAAGCTCACCAACCTTAGCTCCTCTCAGCATTTGATAAGGGCAGACATACACTGCTGTTCTGGACTCAGTCTTCATTGAACACCATAAATTTCTGGGATCCCCACCAACTCCAACCTATTCATTGGCTCCTTCTCCTGGGTTTTCTTCACTGAACAAAGACCCCCTTCCATCCACAGTCCTTTCTTCTAAGAATAATGTTCCTACCCTTCATGTGAGGACCAACCCTATGTGGGTCCCCCCCCCCAATGCATATGTCACCTCTTTTTTTTTTTAAAGAAAATGACCACAAGATCATTTATTTAGATGCAAAAAGGCTTTTTACAGAATAATATATCCATTCATGGTAAAAATTATGGAGTATGAGGAACATCCCTATATATAACAGAATATAATTTTAGCTTGCAAATTACCAAAAGAATCATTCTAATTGGAGATTTTTCAAAAATATTCCCGTATGATTGGGAAAATATAGAATACTCACTCTCTACATACCCGTTCTGTTTTCTGCTTGAAGTCTTAGGTATCAGTCTAAGAAAACATGAATTTCAAGGGATACAGATAAGCCAGAGAAATGTCAAAGTATTCTCATTGAACATAATATTTATTTTATATATGCAACTTTAAGTGAAGATTCAGATGCTGGTTCTAAGGTTGCTGCTAGTCTCTGTTTTGTTTTGTGGATTTGGTTTAGTATTGTCACCATAAAGTCATTGCTTCTTTAATGTGTCATATACTTTTTTGGTGTAAGATTGCAGGAAAATACAAGTTAACATATATTCTTGAGGAAATGTCATACAACCTTGGTGTTATTTGCCTCTGAATCCTTCATTTTTGTACTGAGCACCCATGCATCACAAGTGAAGAATGCTGCTGAATATCTTTTTTCCCAATTGATAGTGTCCATGCATGTCAAATCCCTAAACAAAGAATTTAGACACCTAATGAATGTTGTGAGAAAGAAAATTGCCCTGTGCCATGGGTTATGTCTATTATTTCTTGTTTAATGTAACCTGATGAGATCTGAAATGCTATAATCATAAGCAATTAAGCTGCACTAAATTTCTGTACTTATATTTTTGTTTTGTATAAATATATATATATATGGATACATATATATACATACATATATATTTGGAAAAATGTATATGTAACAACAGTTATCAAATGGCAGTTATATTATAGATGAGGGAATATTGAAACATTTGGAATGCAAATCATTGGGGTAATCCAGATGTGAATTGATATAATTATATTTTCATTAAATTTACACTTAAAATAATTTATGAATTTTACATATGTCACCTCTTAACTCTCTCCCCAAAGCCATCAGGCATCTCACTGAAGTTGAGCATCTTTATTGGGAGTACCATGTCAGAAAATTCACTATGTCCTCAAGCAGCCTCTTTCCTTTCCCTCACTGCTCATGATGTTCAGTGTTGCCTCTCCTCTTCCCACTTCCCCTTAGGCACATATCTGGCCACCATCACATTTGGCACATCTATCTCTTTGTGCCCTCTTTTTTATCTATTTTCTGTGTATATACTGAAGTTGCTGCTTTCATCAACTGGTGAGATTTTCTTCTATGTCTCAAAAGACACTGTCCATAGAAAAGACAAGTTTGGCTTCATCATTCCTGTTTCTAGCTTTTTGAGGGCTTGACCATAAAAATGAGTCACCTATCATTAAGTGTGGAGCCCTTTCCAGTCCAGTAAACTCAGACTAAGGAAAAGAATGTTGTCAAGATAGCCTTACATGACTCCCGTCTTCAGCAGAGAATGTAGCTAGGGCCTATCCCCAAGGAAGGAACCTGGGGACCTGGCAAACTTTCCTCTCCAAAATAGGGCATGATCCACTGTTTATTGAGGTGTGGCTTGTCTGTGTTTTATTATCCTTTTAAAACCCTGGATTTTCCCCTTACCACAATAGTTTCCCAATGAACAAAAATCAGGACCCACCCAAATTCTAATTAATACCTCCTAAAACACACAGATACACACACACACACACACACACACAGAGAGAGAGAGAGAGAGAGAGAGAGAGAGAGAGAGAGAGAGAGAGTGAACACCTACCATTACAAGACACCACCCTATACAATGCAGGAAATCAAAACTAAATGAGGCAGTTCTGTCTTCAAATCACTCTTGATGTGTGCTGTACCCACAAAGGGTAAACTTCACTTTTTACAAAGGATATGACATGAGCTCCATGACGAAAATTTGTCCGGCTGAAAAATATAAAATATATTTCTACAGTTCTGTTTCCTAATACAGTACACATAAAATATTCTGTATAGCAAAATTATTTATCAGCTTCATAAACATTGGCTTAGGGTATTGGTAAATAGGTAGAATGTTTAGTCAACACTGAAGACATAAATATGAAGATACAAAAGATGAACAGGAAATAGACGCTATTATATAGATAGCTGCTAAATTTATCCTATGAAATAGGTGACATTACCTAGGAAGAATGTCACAGGAGAGTCTAAAAGACAGAGAGAAATAACTTGTTAGTTGGCTGGCTGTATAGAAAAAAATGAAGTTGAATAATGTACCTTGCTTCTTGCATCAAATAGATTTTAGCTGAATTAAATTTTCAGTCTGGCTGGGCATGTTAGTGTATGCCTATGATTCCAGCCTTGCTACATGGCAGACCCTGCCTCAAGAAAAAAAAATACAAAATGTAAAAAACAAAGCATTAAAGGATTAAGCATGTGCATTAGATTTTAAAGATAATTTTAGAGTTTTTAAGAAAGAGATCATGCATTTTTGTAAGTACTATGTCAAATATAAAGGGAATACAAGAAAATGGATTAGTGAATTAGATTCTGTGAATATAAAAGTAAGGTTTAAGTGGGGCTGGAAAGTTATCCACTGGGTGAAGTGCTTTCTCCACAAGCATGAGGACCTGACTTTGGATTCCCAGAACCCATGGAAAAGATGTGGTATGTGTCTTTATATCCAGAACTGGGGAGGAGAGATAAAGATGACACTCCATAGCTTGCTGGCCATGCAGTATAGCTGAGTCATTGAAATCCAGGTTTAATGAGACCTTGTCTTAAAAACTAAAGTGTCGAACTGTGGAAAAAGACATTTAATGTTGACCTCTGACCCTCATGTATTCACTAATGCATGTGTATCTGTGCATATATACAAGAAAGCATATATGGCCCATATACAACACACACACACACACACACACACACAGAGAGAGAGAGAGAGAGAGAGAGAGAGAGAGAGAGAGAGACGGGGGGGACAGAGACAGAGAGAGAAGGGAGGAGACCTGAGAAGGTTAAACTTCAACTGAGGAATTGCCTCCATCAGACTACTCTATGGACATATGGACATGACGACATGGCATCTCCTTGATTAATAATTGATGTTGTATATGTGGAGGTGGGTCCAGCCCACTGTGGGCAGTGTTATTCCTAGGCAGGTAGGCCTGGGCTTTATAAGTAACCAAGCAAGCCAGGTGAAGCAAGCTGGTAAGCTGTTCTGTTGTTCTTCCATAGATTTTGCTTCGAGCTCCTGCCTTCAGTTTCTGCCTTGGCTTCTGCCTATGTCTATGATAACAGACATAACCTGTACACAAAATAAACTCTTTCTTTTCCAACTTTCTTTTTGTTTTAGTGTTTTATCACAGCAATGAAAAGCTAACTGCACACACACACACACACACACACACACCATGAAATCCATTAAATTACTATTAAACATGAATTATATTTTATGTATTTCTGAGGAAGCTACAAATAGAAGAATGCTTTTAAATATGATAATGGCGTTGTCACAGAAGGTCATTGACATTGAAAGCACAACGTAGTTGTGACTGATACGCTTAAAGATGCTAATTGCCTGTTTCCCTTTCAAAACAGAGGTCTACATCTTAGCTTTTGTTAATAATGAGCAATTTTTATCTGTCACAGAAAGCATGCTTATTTACCATCTTCTGGTGGGCGCCCAGGTGCTACAAAAGTCATGGTAGTTGTGACTGATGGTGAATCCCATGATGGGTCGATGCTGAAACAGGAGATCCAGAAATGCAATGACATTGAGATATTGAGGTTCGGCATAGCAGTAAGTAGCTTTTGTTTGGACATATCTGTTGGCTGATGGGTACACAGTCCTGTATGCCATCACTTTCCAGTCTGCACTTTGTACAATCTCTCTGCTTCCTGCTGACTTTTAGTCCTGTCAACTAAATAGATGGCAGTAGAAATGTTTTCAAGATGTTTGTGGTGATCAGAAATGTACTGAAATGAATAGATAGGTACATTGAAGTAGAAGAATGACCTTTATCATACTCTCTTTTTTTCAAGGTTCTTGGGTATTTAAACAGAAATGCTCTTGATACTAAAAATTTAATCAAAGAAATCAAAGCAATTGCTAGTACTCCAACAGAGAGATATTTTTTCAATGTGGCCGATGAAGCGGCTCTTCTGGAAAAGGCTGGAACACTAGGAGAGCACATTTTCAGCATCGAAGGTAAAAAGGCCTATCTCAAATTTTTCCTTCAAATACTTTTTGTTGGAGAATTTGTTATTTTTATGTAATGTATTTACTATGTGGATATTAACTTATAAGCTGTGCATAAAAAATAACTCAGATAAGTCAGGCAAGAAAAATAGACAAAATACATGAATCTATAATTTCTAAGAAAAGTGTAAGAGATTAGTGAGCAGAAGAAAAATATGAATCCAACCACTTTTGTGTTTTACCTAAAAGACAACACATCAACACTATATAATTTTCCAGAAATCTCTTGAGTTGCAAATCTCACACATGGTTCAGAAGATGTTTTTTTTTCAATTTTTGAGAGAACAACCTTGCAACATCTATTATAATCATAATTTTTAATTATATAATTTCAGAAACTCTTGAATACCTAAAAATAATGAAATTACAGTGATGATCTCCAGCAGTTCAGTTGGGGGAAAGGCTTGCCTTATTGAAGCTCTACTTCCATAGCCCCTTGCAACATCCTCGGGGCAGAATTGTCACCCATGCAGACAGTCAGGAGAACTGGAACACTCTTTACAGTTGATAAAAATAAGAGCCACATGACCCAAATTCTGGTTCCAGGAGCTTAACTCAAATAACTCAGCAATAAAGCTGGTAGTTAATTGTGTGCCTACATCTCAGGTCCCACCTTAGAAGCTGGCTTCAAAGGTATTGCAGAGGTTTCTACAGCTGTAGTCCATCCTTTGATCCTCTGATGATGCACTAGAAATTTCTATCCCACCCCAAATTCTATTGCAGAAGTGTGCTATTTCTGATTTATTTAAAGCATCACCAAAAAAACCAAGGCCTCCTTCATAATTCAAAACTACTAATGCATCTGTATGAGCAAAGCTCTTGAGGTCCATGAGTAAGAGTAATTGCAATGTAATTTCAGGCTAACTTGAAATGATTTGGGACATTTACTGTTGTTGACGACTTTTGAGGAACACAAACCTATTTCTCCCCCAAACTGTCTCTATGCAATCAGTGTTAATTATTGCTTACTGGGGATCAAAGCCAACTTTGAACACTTCTTTGGACACTTTCTTAGTGTTTCCTCATCCTAGAATTCTCCATGCTACAGTTGTACATTGTTATAAGAAAGTGTATGTGAATGTGAGTGTGTGTGTTTGTGCATGAATGCACATGCTTACATGTGTGTGTTTGAAATTTTGATTTAAAATTGCTGACAATAATATAATTTTTGAAAATGATATTTTACAGGTACTCTTCAAGGAGGAGACAACTTCCAGATGGAAATGGCACAAGTAGGATTCAGTGCAGATTACTCTCCTCAAAATGTATGTATATCAGAGAAGTTTAAGACAATATTGTCACTTTCCAGATCACGCACAAACACAATAGTTTAAACATAGTAGGAAAACAGCCATCACGTGAGCAATGATTCATACTCCTGGGCCCAGTCACTAAGCTTACAAAAACAGTAGCTAAATTCTTCCTTCGCTATGTCAGAAGAAAATATAAAGCTATAATAAAGGCTTTGAGTTCCCTATGACAAAGACACTATACTAATTCCAGGCATCGTCCTCATAAGCATTTCATGGGACTCAATTAACTACCATAAACATTTGTCAGAGAAACAAGCCTTTTTATCCCAGACACATTTGCTGTCTACGTTGCCATATTAACATTTTTAAGAGCAGAGAGAGAGAATTGTTGAAAATGGGTGATTTGTGAAGTCTGAGGTGGCCTGGAATCTACTGTCTTGGTAGCTCAGGGAGTTCATCAGAAACACCCTCTAGATCTGGAGCAGAATTCTGCCCAGGACCTTGGAGACAAATGGGAGACAAAATGACAATAGATTCTGGGAAATATTTAGGTGTTTGTCTGACTTCAATTAATTTTAAGTCAGAGGGTGACAACCAGATCCAAGGACAAAGAACAGCTCATCCTCCACCTGGAATAAAAGATGCTTAGGTTACTGATTCGACAAGCCTTAGAGATGTTGACAAAAGTTAGAGAATTTTTCCATAGAAAAAGATAAATAAATATAATATTATAGAAATATTTTCACATAATTCCACGAGGTTACTATCCATTCCCTGGAGCCCATTCATATAGCCCTAGCTTAGTCTGTACTTACATTATGCTTATTCTAAAAATTTTACATTTTTTCCTCAGAAGGAGATATGTTTTCCCCTATTTGTTATTTTTAACCCCGTATCATCATATCATTGTTTCCTTATATACAAAACCCTTAACAATAACATCTTTCATTCTGACCAAGCCTGTGTTCCTAATAACTTGAAGCCTCTGATATTTAAATTGAGTTTGAGCAGTGCAGAGGAGCCTGAGCTGCTTGGTCCTCCCTGTGCCTGACTTAGGCTTGTTTTCCATCCACTACATTGACTGTCACAGCTACAGGTGAATTTTGTGGCTGTGCTATGATTAAACTCATGGGATACAGGGATGTAGATGCCAGAACATTTGGAAAGGACTGAAGAAAAGAATGAAGGGCTGTGAGGGCTAGAGCAATAACTCAGTGGATAAGAGAGCTTGCTGTACAAGCATGAGAACCCAAGTTCAAATCCCAGCACCCACAATTCTGGAAGGGGCGTGTGGCTGCCTGTAGCCCTAGCACTGTGGGGAGTGCAGAGACAGGAGGATCACTGAGGTTTGCTGGCTGCCATCTTTGCTTTAGCTTCAGTAAGAGACTCTGTCAAGGAAATGAAGCAGAAAGGGATAGAGCAATGCACCTGATGTCCTCCTCTGGACTCTTCATGTACAAGCATGCACATTTATACATATAAAACATGCCACAAAAATACAAAGATGAGAGTCGAAAATGCAACAGGTCAGAAGGTTTCCCAAGACATGCTTGGGAAGAGCAGCATCCCCTCCCTCCTCTGAGGCCAGCACTTCCCATTGCTTTAGTGTATCTCATATTCATCATGAGCCTTTTCTATAAATACATGGGATGAGTTCTCATGTGATTCATCTGTAAGTTCTGAAAGGTTCAGCATTTGCAAAGATGTGCCTTTGAATTGAAGATGACTGTGCATCCATCCTGTACATGGTCTATTGTAAAGATTTCTACATAATGCATGACAATAACTTCTTCCAAGAAAGCTTAGCTCAGTGGTTCTCGACCCTCCTAATGCTGTGACCCCTTCGTACAGTTCTTCATGTTGTGGTGACCCCCAACCATGAAAATATTTCCATTGCTACTTCATGATTGTAATTTTGCTACTGTTATGAATCATAATGTAAATACCTTTTAAGAAGGGTGATCTTAGGTGACACTTGTGAAAGGGTCATTCAACCAACAAATCAGTTGAAACCAACAGGTTGAGAACTGCTGCCACAGCTTATGGCAAGCTTGTTCTCCAGTAAAATCAAACCAATTCTAAGAAGCTTGTTCTCCAGTAAAATCAAGCCAATTCTAAGATATATATATATATATATATATATATATATATATATATTGCAAATTTCCTTAAATTTTAATAGTTTATTTACATGGTTTGATTACACTGAGTTATCTTGCATTGAAGGTGATTTGTCTTAATCTTCATTTTTTTCAATTATTTCAGGATATTCTTATGTTAGGTGCAGTGGGAGCTTTTGACTGGAGTGGAACTGTTGTCCAGGAGACATCTCACGAGCACTTGATCTTTCCTAAACAAGCCTTTGACCACGTTCTGCAGGATAGAAATCACAGTTCATTTTTAGGTGAGGCACAACCAAGGTTGGCTCAAACAACTCAGGTTCTTTTTCCTTAAACTCTCAAGTCAGTGCAGCAGAGTCTCTGGACTGTCCTCTACTTCCATGTTTGTAATCCACAGATGTTACCTCTTTGCCAGTCAAGCTTCAGTCCATAAGTAAGGAAAGCTGGGTTTTATACACAAATCTCTGTAGAGATCTTTTGCGCTCATATGATCAATGGTGTTATTTAACTCCACTGTTTCTAAAACATGCAAATCTGTTCATGCAGATATCCCTGGAACACAGTTGTTCTCCAAAACAGAAGTTGTTCCTAAAAGGCGATACACAAACTAATGTCCTTCTATTGTTTTAGAGTTCTTAGTGGTTTCTGTGTTTGTGTTTGTTATTGCTGTTATTCATATGATAAGTATCCAGTGATGTTTAGGGGTATTGTAGTCTAGCTACACAAATCCTTCCAAAATCCTGTGACCTTAATAACTTTTATCAACTTTATCAACCTAGCAAATGACAAATCCAGAATTCAAACCTAGAATTCTGTAATTCCAAGACCTGTGTTTTTTCCATGAAGCAGCATTGCCATTTAAATTCATTTGTTCATTCATTAAACACTTGTTAAAGGCCAGTGTCTTTGTTCTGTTTCCTGATGCTATGAAAATATACATTGGCAAAGGCAACTTAAAGAAGAGTTTATTTGGCTCACAATTCCAAGTTATAATCCATCAATGTGGGGAAATCAAGGTAGTGGGAACTTAAAGCAGTTAGTCCCATTACATAAACAATTATGAACAGAGAAATATGAGCGAATGGGTGTGTTCTTGCTCTTAGCTCGCTTCCTCAACTCTTATCCAGTTCAGGATCCCTTGACTAAGGAATGGTGTCACCAACAGTGGGCAGCTCTTCCCACCTCAATTCCTCACTTAATGTAATCAACCTAATTCCTCACAAATATACCAAGGGAACACTGGATCTAGACAACCCCTCACTGAAATGCTCTTCTCAGGTAATAATAGATGGTGTCAAGTTGACAATTAAAGTTAGCAATTAGCCAGGCTTGTAGGTGGCTGATAAGAACAACCAAGGATCAAGGGACAGCTTTACATGTTGAGGTCCTGTCTATGGTGGTCAGGGCTACAAAGGAAGGTCAGGACAATTCATCTCAGGAACATGAGTAATCATCACATCCAACATCAAGACTTCTGAGCATCTATGCTCCCTTCAAAAGCCCTCTCTGGCAGAGACAATTGGTGGTGCTCAACCTAGAATGTCTTCTCTCCTAGGTTACTCTGTGGCTGCAATTTCTACTGAAAAGGGTGTCCACTTTGTTGCTGGTGCTCCTCGGGCAAATTATACTGGCCAGATAGTGCTGTACAGTGTTAACAAGGATGGCAAGGTCACGGTGATTCAGTCTCACAGAGGGGACCAGGTAAATATCATCACTGAGCAAGTGAAGTTAATTTTATGGATAACTGGGCAGGTGGACAGTTGAGTGGGTGAAGTGGACACTGGTGTTTACTGAGTGGTTCATCTGTGTTTGAGAATGTCATCTGAATTTACTCATGTCTATGTTAAATCCTAACAACAGAAAGTTCACTGGGATTAAGTCTGATCCTGCTACTGCCATTGATTTTGTGGGAGTAAGGGAACCACAAACTAGTCACCACATAGCTTTTGCCTCATTGGTAGCTTGAAGAATGGTATTTCCATTTTGAGAAAAACTTTAAACAAGTGTTACAAAAGAAATAAAATTTTAAATCCTTAATAAATGTTCACTCAGGCACTCACTGAATATTGCAGGATAGGATGGCATTCAGATTCCCAGCCCTTCTAATTTTACTTCATCTCTTCCTAGTTCTCCTATCTTTTCTACCTGGCAACATCACCTGGTCTGGGCCATGCCACTGGCATTACATCACTCATGTTTCCCTCTACCTAGAAAACTCATTTTGTCCCTTAAGATACCATTCAAATGATACTTCCCTCCCTGACCCCCCCACTCCCTCCCTACACTCTGATATCTTTATTATAACAGTTTTTGTTTTGTTTTGTTTCTCATGGGAACATGGTTATTTGCTGTCCTTGGCTGGCCCTATCCCTCCTCTTTTTCTCTAAATCACAGCTCAGGTAGCTATTAAGGTTTCCTCTTTTGAATGTGGCCTCTGGCTCACTGGCATCAATAATACCTAGAGTTGCATTGCTAGAATACATATGTGATTATATGACTCCTAAGATTAATATGCTTTGCTACTCCAGATTGGCTCCTATTTTGGTAGTGTGCTGTGTTCAGTTGATGTGGATAGAGACTCCATCACAGATGTGCTGTTGGTAGGTGCTCCCACATACATGAATGACCTCAAGAAAGAAGAGGGAAAAGTCTACCTGTTCACAATCACAAAGGTAACATCACAAACAGACATCTTAATTGGCTCTAGTATTGATAAATAAGTTAATCTGAAATTTGAAGGACACTCATTCTTGAATAATTGCTAATTTTCATACATAGCATTTAATCAAACTCAAGGTGACACCATGGTTACATTTTTTTTTTAAAAATGCATTAAAAGGCATGGAGTTTAATATATAGTGTATTCCCCTTTTCTATGAGAGGTCTTTCGATATGCGTTCTTATGCAAATAAAGCCATTATAAGCATAAATAATTTTGGCATACATGTAAATATAAATATTGGTTCATTTTTAAAGCATCTTGTGACATTTCCTTGAAATGACAGTAATCACTGGATGTGCTGACCTCTTCATCTCACAGTGAAAACAATCATCCCAGCAACTCCAGCAACCTCCAGATGACCTAGAGTGCTTTCTACATTAGTTCGTCAGAAAATTCCAGTGTTTGGTGTCACATTTAGGTGTACGTCCAACTCTTGGAATTTCAGATCCTTGCCATAAAACTGAACTGACTCAAAGAGAGGAGGCATCGTTTTTCCAACTTGTAGACAGAATTCTAAATCTATTTCGATAGGAATCTGGAGCTCAGCAAGGACAGAAAGAAAAGCAAATGAAAGACAGTGGTTGACATAAGAAAACAGATGGGTGTGGGAGGCAGGGAGAGTTGAGTTTCACTGTTGGGGCATTTCCTATATTTTCTATATTTGATACATACTATATATTAATGTAAAAGCTCACCCTTTAACATAAGCAGTTAAAATAATGGAGTGCTGGGAAATGAACCCAGGTCCACTGCAAGAGCAAAAAGTGCTCTTAACCACTGAGCCACCTCACCAGTCTCAGTAACACTATTTCTTAATGCTTTATCTAACTCAGAAGAAAATTAATCTTTATGAAATTACCATAAACTTAGAAAGAATCAACACTGACCCAGTTTCCTGGTTGAGGCACTTTGCTTTCTTGCAAAGCCATTAAGTATTTCCATACTTGAGCACAAAATAAGGAAGTATCTTTTCCTCTGTACGGAATCATTTAGTGTTGCTTGTTGTGGAATGACAGTGACTTCATTTTCCACTTCCTGCCCCATTATAATTATGTGACCATTCACCAATAAGATCTAAATTATCACGTTTCCTTGTGTTTTGCACCTATCGTAATTTCATTCATATTAGACTTTCACCAGGGAGTTTTTAAATCAAAGATTTGGAAAGAGGTGACAGTTCCAAAACTGACAGAAAGTGGAGATAAGGGGTCAAATATTTTATGCAGGGTTTACAGGTACAGAAAAGACAATTATTCCCTCCTTTAATCTTGGCTTAGGAGCAGGTATCTTGTGACCTGAATTAGTGGAAAATTAATTTGTTAACTCTCATCACACAATAGGATATCATCAATTCTAAGGTTAAACCCCTATCCATTTTCTCGTTTTGAAATCTTGGATGTAGTTGCTTTGAATTTTCATGATACATATTGAGAGTTTTGCTGCAACAGTGCCTTCTCCTTTCTCAAGGGCATCTTGAATCAGCACCAGTTCCTCGAAGGACCTGAAGGCACTGGAAATGCTCGGTTTGGTTCAGCAATTGCAGCCCTTTCAGACATCAACATGGATGGCTTTAATGATGTGATCGTTGGTTCACCTGTAGAGAATGAGAACTCTGGAGCAGTGTACATTTACAATGGTCACCAGGGTACCATTCACACCAAGTATTCCCAGGTAACCATGAACGATGTATTGGGTATATAAATGCTAGAGCTAGACAGCATCATCCAAACCATGCCTCTTACTTAAACCTGTGTTCTTTCCATCAAAAAACAGTAAAGCTTTACTATGTGATGAACACTATTCTAGCTCTGAGAGTGCTGTACAGAATAAGACAGACAAAATTCTGCTTTTTCTGACCTTATACTCCAATAGAGGAAATATGAATAAAAGAAATAAGTTGTAGTGTTACAGATAATAACAAATGGCAAGGATAAGACATAAGAACTTAATTAAGAGCCAAATTTTCAAGTATTATGTATCATTAATGCATTATGAGAGGTATCAGATGACCAAAGGATGGTGAAGAATGCCTCACTAACAGGCAATTTTGTGTAAGTCCTAAGAAAAGCTAGCTAGGATGGGAATCAAGACCTGAAATTGTCTCAGCTTTTTCCAAGCCCACAGACTTCTTGCCGTTTTTTACTGGCTTGTGATTACACATTAGAGTTCCATGTTGTTTCCTTGATGAAAGAATCATTGTAAAGGTAATATAGAAATCAGATTAATTGTGGAGGAAGAAAACAGTAGAATTTCCTGGACCAGACAACCAAAAAATGACTGTATAGTGAATGTAGGGGGCATGCAAAGGCCATCGTTCCTTGTGTAGGCTGTGTGTACCACAACTTCATGTTAAATATGTTCTTTCAGAAAATCCTTGGATCTGATGGAGCCTTCAAGAGTCATCTCCAGTTCTTTGGAAGGTCCCTGGATGGTTATGGGGATTTAAATGGGGATTCCATCACTGATGTATCCATTGGTGCTTTGGGGCAAGTGGTTCAACTCTGGTGAGTCAGTAAGTGCAAGATTCAGACTGGATAATTAAAATGACATGCAGTGTTGCATAATGTGTGTAATGACCAATGTATTGTGTAAGACTGTAGGAAATGTATTTGTCATAGTTTGCATAAAGGAAGGAATATGTATGGTTTTCCTGAGATGGGAGAATATATATTATTGTATACATATTTGTGCATATATATTACTGGCAGGCATGTATCTTGGGCACACACATATATATATAGAGATGCATACATATAATATAATGCATATAATATATGCATCTATATAGAGAGATTTCTTTATCATTAGAATCATGCTTTTCTTCTCCTTATGTGAAAAGAATCAGAAGGTAGAAAAGATAAAGCCCGTGAAATGATACCCCACATGTTTCTAAATGTTGTCTTCTTACACACAGCTCCATTTCAGCTTCCAGTCAGGAAACCTCATGAAAACAAACTCATAGAATACAAACAAAGTGAAACTTCTTAAGTGCTTAAAAGGCATATTTTAAAATTGCTAGTCATGAATAGGAACCATTATTTTGGCTTAGCTAACCTCTTCATTGCTGGCATTGGTGTAAAAGTTGAGAGAACAAATCAGGACTCAAAGGAAGCATGGTTCAAGGTTTTAAAAACTAGCTATATGAAGGGCTTGCAAAAATAGCTCAGTTGGTGAAGCAGTCTGTTATACAGGCATGAGGACCTGAGTTCAATGCCCAGAACCCATGCCAAAAAGCCAATCACAGCCAGGTGAGGTAGCTCATGCCTTTTATCCCAGCACTTGGGAGGCTGTTACAGGTGGGTGTCTGTGAGTTTGAAGCCAGCCTGGTTTACATAGACTGTTCCAGGACAGCCATAGGTGTATAGTGAGACCATTTAAATAAATGAACAAACAAAAAGCCAGGCATAGTGTCATGTGTTTATGACCCCAGTGAGGGTGACGCAGAGACAATACCTGGAGCTCACTAGCTAGCTAACCTAGAATAACTGCCAAGTTTCAGGGCATAGAGACCATGTCTCAATCAACAGGGTACCTGAGGAATGACATCCAAGGTTAACCACTGGCATCCAAATGCACATGTACACACACACACACACACACACACACACACACACACACACACACACACCGTAATATGCATGCAAAAAAAAGAACCAGACACATACATACAAAACTTAGGTCTATGATCTAGTGAGATACTGCAATTGAAAGAATATTGATTATTTAGTCAGGAATACTCATGCATTCACTTTTCTGTGTTGAAAATCAATGCCTTAATTGTCCAGACTTGGGAATAGAAACACAGGCCATGGATGTTAGATTATTTCTGAGTTTGATGCTACTCTGTACACATGTGAATTGTGCTTTTCAAGAGTAAAATGCAAATTTTTAACAAATGAAACTATTACATGGAAAACCAATGATAGCTTTAAGACTGAGAAACCAGAAAATACATTTACTGAATAAAGATGAAATTATTAAAGAAAGCATGCTAAGAATGTTATAGAGTTTCTGTGGCTTCATTTAAAATAATGTATCAAAACACATACCTGTCAGCAAACAACACCATGTAAGCCTCTAGGCAGGCTTTCCCACGTGTTGTCTTTGCATTCGCTCTACTGTGATACAGCTTAGTCAGTGGTGTGACCAAGCTTCTGTTTTACAAGGTATGTTTGATTCTTCAGAAAAGTCAAAACAAGTGGGATCAAATAAATGTGCTGAGCTGACTATTCAAGCTAAGCTAATATTCTGTGGTCACATTCCTAAGAAGTACTGAGTGCTTTTTCTGGATAACTCTAGGAATAATGTCTAATAAATTTATAAAACATGTAAATCAATGTCATCTGTATTAGAATGCATGGTCAGTCTCTCAAATAGCTGTGCTAAAATTCAATTAAGCACTCGATTATAACCTGAAGCCATGTTACATTTCTTATTAGATGTGCGTAGTAACTTTTGAAACAGTCTTTCCAGTGATGTCTGAAAATAAAAAGAACTTTCTGGATCTATTTGGGGTACTTTTCAAAACAGTGAAATTACGAATTATTGCTTGCTACCTTATAAATAGTGGAAGGTGTATGCAGGGGTCATTGTGGTGATGTTCAAGTTCCAGTAACGGAGGGACTCAGACTGTAGGTTCCATTTCCTCAGTGACAAGTACCCAGTGAAGTGGTGAGCCCTCAGGTACCTTTGTCTCTGATATTTTCCTACTTTACAACAATGTTGAAGGATCAAATAAGACTGTCTCAGGTATATAAAGGGCCACAAAGCTCTGCACCCTGTGATGGACTCCTCGGTCATCCTCTGCCATCATGCGCGTTGTCACCATTATAGACGTGATGCTAACCACAGAGGCAACAAAGCAGAAGACATGGCAATATTCAGTAGCTCTGGCACCTCCATCTTCCTACCTTCTCTCTCTCCTGCCATCTCAAGAGTGAGAGCGACACCGACCCCAGCTGGGAAGACAGAGGGGTCATGACCTAACATTTCATTTGCAAAGAGGTTTCAGGCTTCTATTCTGTGTAGGTTCAAGTGTTATTTTAAATATATGTATATACTTAAATATAAATAGATTATATATATGTATGTATACATATATATATATGTATACATACATATATATAATCTATTTATATTTAAGTATATACATATATTTAAAATAACACTTGAACCTACACAGAATAGAAGCCTGAAACCTCTTTGCAAATGAAATGTTAGGTCATGACCCCTCTGTCTTCCCAGCTGGGGTCGGTGTCGCTCTCACTCTTGAGATGGCAGGGGGGGGAGAAGGGGGCGAGAGGGAG